TTATTGTCAAATATTTAATAATTATACATTAACTGAAATGCATTTTATAGTAGAGAAATGTAGAAAGATATTGCAGTGTTATTATGTATCATTGGAATATGGCAATAATAATAGTACAATTTGACTGAAGGGGAAAAAAAAAAAAAGTTTTCAGTGTTTTAAAAGGCAAATGGACAACGGACATCTTTTCAGTAAAGTCTTGGATGAAAGTTTTACTGTGACTCAACTTGGGAACTTGGGAAGACACTGTAAATTTATAGTGGAGGCGGGGTCCCTTTCTTCGTTAAACAGCTGCATTGAAGGGTGATTTCAGGTCTCTTTCTTCGTTAAGCCACCGCATTGAAGTGTGAAACGCTACCCCTCAAGTACTTGTAAATGGCTGATGACTCAGAGCAGTAAACTGAATTAAACTTGCTCTTATTCTAATGCCATTTCTCTAGTCTATGGCGTGAACAAACAGAAGTTTTCTTTAAAATTAAATTTCAAGTGATCTCAAATATAATTCTTCATATAAATAAGTTATTGATTTGTAATATCTAAATTAATCGTAAACTAAATTCTTAATTTAAAACTTCTAAAAATTCAATTCAGCTAACTTTTAATCCATTTATCTGAAACTCCAAATTATCACATTAACAATGCAAATTTCTACTAATATTAATTTAATTAAATATTTTATAATAAATAAATCTATGTAATACATTAAGAAACATCATATCAGGCCAAGTTAAAACAAAAATTTTTTAAACACATCCTGCGCTAGTGCAGGATCGATCAACCAATCTATCGGCTCGACAATCGAAAATCAACATCTAGAAAGCGTTTCTATTAATATGCAAGATATGAGAAACAAGTTTGAAGACATTATGAAAGAAGCTGAGTTTATTGCAAATAAATGGGGCATAGAAACTAATTTGGAAAATAAAAGAGAAATAAAGAACCTAAAACACTGCCATTTAACAAATACGGAAATTATTAATAATGTTTCAAAAATACAGAAAACATATAAAGAAGACTTGCACTGGAAGTACAACTTTTATATTTATAAATACTTTCAGAACGAAATCCAAAATTTGAAATCCGTTAAGGATTTAGCTAATTAGCAATGGTAAATATTATGACATGACAAGCGATTATTCGGGAGTGTGAAATTCACTTATATTTATTTATCATTACGTAACCACAGCCACGAGTGGAGGTCATTTTCAATAAAAAATATTTAAGTAACAGTATGACACAAGATTGTTGTCCACCAACTCTGAGTTGAGTAGATGGCTGAGAAAATGGAATCAAGTAGAAATAATTTGCGAAATGAAGGTTAGGAGAGCAAATTTTAAAGAAGATTTTTCTTTATGAGGAATTTGACCACCAATGTAATACACTATTGAGGGAGGAAAAATTAAGAAGAAAGCATACGGACTGAGAAAAAAAAAGGAAACAGTAAAAACTTAGCATTATATTTTTTTTATAAAATCATATCAAGTGTTTAGGTACCAAAAGGTTTCTAAAAACCGGCAAAAACTTCTATTTTTACAAAATTTATTTCTAAAGTTTTTATGAAGTTTATGATCAGCTTTCTGTACTTTATCAATATCTTTCTGTCAGTTTATAATAAACTAATTATTATAAGTTTGTTAATTAAGCGAAAAAACCTAACGCCCAGCTTTTTATCCCTTTTACAATATGCATCTTAGTGAAAGGATAGAAAAATCTGTCTTCACTCACACAAAAGTAGTAACTGCATTAAAATCATCGACGTCGTCAAATACCAGACTAAAGAATTTATTTCACCATTTGGTCAAGGGAAAGTGTTTTCTTTTAATTTATTCTTCATGTTTCGTCCTTTCAACTGGTTCCCTAAAACTTGCTTTCTTTTTAACAATTAACCAGAGTGATAAAAATCATCATGAAACCATTGCCTCCTAGAATCCTTGATTTTTTTTTAAACTTATCGTGGTTTTTTTTTTTTTTTTTTTTTTTTTTTAAAGCACTTAATTATTGGGAAAGGACCCAGGAATTTTTTTGCGGAGGGACCTTTATTAGCCACTGTTCGCATTATGATCGAAAAATAAGTAGGCATATTTTATAAGTAAAAATCAAAGAAGTAACTAGGCAGGATTCTGGTACTTTGGAATGAACTTTGCAAGTTAAGAAGAAATCGTGGTATATTATTTGCAGTTCGTAATTTTCCATAATATGTCATTCCGGTAGCGTTTAATTGTGTTTCATATATTGAATCTCTTACTAGCTTTTCATTAAACACAAGTCCAAAAATCAGTCCTAATATTCAATTTGAAATTAAATTTATTAATGTGAATGACTCTTAGAATTTAATATAACATGTATTTCGTTGGTTCGCTATAAACGGCGTATCACTTTTCAAATTGTTGCCGCCAAATAACCTCACCCTGTATTATTTTTAAAGAAACTAAATAAGGAAGAATCTGTATGTTTGAATGTATAGTTCTCACAATGTAAAAAACGGTGGTACTTGCAACCTGCGCAGTCGCAACAAGGGGCAAGGTAATGGACAGAAACATTTTGGATTTAGAAGCACGATTGACATTACAGAATGGCAAAGTTACAGACAGATCGATTTTTTTTCCCTTTTTTACACTAATAAGCTGGAGGGGGGAAATCATTCGTAAGTATTAATTGCTAACTCCAGAATACATGCTTTTCTTTTTTAAGGACACAAAATCATTGACGTAAGTTGAACAGTTGTGGCATGAAAGGATTTTACCCCAGCCCCATGTCAAAATGCCGTTCTAGTCCAGGAAACGCAAAGAATTTATGGCACCACATTTAGAAAGCAGGGATTTTCCGTTCGGTTTAGGGATCTTTGAATGAATTCAAGGTCCGAAAAAAAGGGGGGAAAGTTTTACGACAGGCTACGAACACACAGATGCTCAAAATTAAGCGGCCAAATATTTCAGTTAATTTCCGGCGTAAATTTAATGAAATTTTTTTCATTAAATTTATCGAAATTCATTACATTTTCACTCATGGGAGTAGGAAATGGAATGGATGAAAATTGTTACTGAAATAATGAGTAAATAATATTTATCAATTTTTCATATCAAAATTTTCAAATATTCTCACATTGCAGATAAAATGCAGGTTAGGAATTCTTTAAAATCCTTAATCGAGAATTAAATCTGAAAGCACAAACTTTTTGATTTACTTGATTTGCTTTAGAAAAGAGAAGAGCTGTAGTGTTTCTTAACCTTAAATTACCATCTACCAAAAATTCACACTTATCTGTAAAATATAATTCTGAAGACAATTTGTTTTGAAAGTAAATTTAATCTCTCTTCGTTTGAAAAATATAAAAATAATTTTTTTAACAACTTGAAACATTTAAGCGTACTTGAGAAGCTCAATATTTGTACGTTATTTAAACAGAATTGAATTATTATAAAATAAAGCTGGGAGGACTTGCCTAAGGAAGAACGCCTTCATGGAGTACTTTCTAATCGTTATTTGAATGAATTTTACAACTACTTTTACTTTTGCTTTAATTACTTTCCACAACTCAGTACTGAATCTCAATAATAGTATAAATGAACTAAAATGGCAAACACAAAAAGTATATACTACTCGTAATTTCGATACTTAATTAAATATTAAATATTTTCATATATGATCGGCCTAGTATTTTTAAGTGCAAAATCGAAAAAACCGATTACATTACTATGTTCACTAACAACACCAAAGAATCGGAATTTGCCTAACGCGTCCCCGTTAGCGTTTAATTTTGCATAAAAAAATTTTTATTAACTTTAATAGTAACACATTTCCCAAAAATCCTTTTCATTTTTTTTTTTTTTATCCTCTTCATTTAATATGGCTATTTTCGTGGTTAGTATAACGGCGTATTTTTTTTAAATTTTTGCATTACAAATTAATGATTAGATAAAAATTATACTGCTTCTATTTTTTAAAAAAATCCTGTATTCAATAGTTTAGTTGTCCAAAAGGTTTTTTAAAGAGAGGAAAAACTTTACCATACATAAGCTCTTATTTATCACTTGTATATTATCGCATAAATCAGGTTCGTAATCGATAAATCACAGAGTACTATACATATGTAATAGTTTTCTGTACTTTATCATTCTCTTGTCCGGTCAGTTTATCTATACTAACTAGTTATAGTTTGCTAACTTAAGCGAAAAAACTTAATAGGCGCAATTTTATATAAAAAGCTAAAACTTATATGTAAAACTTCTTGGATTTTTATAACAAATCTCCACAATCTAGGCTTGTCTTTCCTTTCTTAATGCTATAGTCGACTGTGCTTTTTTTTTTATAGACTTATTCATTTATTAGCATTATGCATCTCAGTGAAAGGAAGAAAATCTGTCTCTCGCACTCACACAAAAGTCTTATAAACCCAGACTAAAGCAATTTCATTTCACCAGTTGGTCAAGGGGAAATTATTTTCCTTTTAATTCTTTCTTCTTTTACTACCCCTTTCAACTGTATCCCTAAGAGCGTCTTTTATTTTTTAACAATTAATCCAGATGTGATAAAAATCATCATGAAAACATTGGCTCCTGGAATCCTTGATTTTTTTTTTTTAACTTTTCGCATTTTTTTTTTTTTTTTTTTTTTTTTAACTTTTTGATTTTTAAGCACATTAAATTTATTGGGAAAAGGGCCCAGGAAAATTTTTTCCATAGGGCCCAAGAGTTCTAGTTACGCCATTGACTAGGAAGTACTGCCCAGAGCAGTTGGTAGAAACCTAGAATAGCCACCTATGTAACAGACAGGTTGCTAATGTTTATTATACGAATCATAGAGTTTAATTTTTACTTCTTTGTGTTTCTTGTAATCTTTTACATGAATAACTGAAACCTTTTAATTATTTACTTAAATAAATTTCTCATGGTACTGAGCGTTACGTATTCAAGTATAATATATGTCATATGGAAATTTGTGTGGGCTTTATGAAACAAATGTCTTTGTATGGCTCTAGGCGTACTGACTTCATCGTGGAGTAGGTTTTATGCTACCCACACTACAACCGCATTTAGGGTGGTTGCCGCATTATTAGCTTGCTGCGCATGCGTCTGGGCTATCAGTCAACGTATTTTCCGCTAAGGACCGAATTTCACTACCATTTTGGGGAGTAGGTCGTGTTGTCGAAGTAAGTTTAACAGATTTTTCTTTGTGTACGTTACATTTAGTCTGTATTATTCATTTAATTTTCAGCTACGGAATATTTCATTTCTAACTGTATGTATAAATGTGAAAAATATCTAAAGGTATGAAATAATTGTATTAGTAATGAATTATTTTCCGGCGTATGAATTCATTATATTTATTCTCTACTGACAAAATTGTGGTTTGGTAACAAAAATTGAATTTATCTCTGTATCTAGTTTGATGTTGCAATATTCACCGAATGAAAAGGACAGAGTGTAATATTGTTCAATTACATATTAATACAGTATAATTTAGTTTTAACCTTTCACATTTCTTTCATTCCATGAGAATTTGTGCCATAAATAGAAATTTATTTTGCCGAAAAACAGTATTCTTTAAAATATAGCATTTGAAGATGTATACTTTATATTTTGATGCTATTTGTGCAAGTGCTAAGACCTAGCATTACGCATATATAAAGTCCAGATCTGCAGCAGAGTAGATTTGTATGCAGCTTATGTATAGAGATTAAGTTGAATTTAGAACCTTGCATTTATAATTGCGATATTTTTTAGGTTTGTGAAATGAATTTTCTCAGCATAGTGATAATTTTCCATACCCGTTTCTCTGATCTAAGACATTTTTGTCGTACTTGTATATATATATATTTCCTAAACAGTATTGATTAATTGATTATATTATCTCCTAAGTGTAATTAACTAATTATATTATCTCCTAAGTGTAATTTGACAAAACAAGAAACTTCAATTTCAATACTAACAAATTAATAAATTGGAATCCAACTATCCAAAAAGTAATTAACAATACATAATAATCAAATACAATAATTAAATCATATCACGATACAATAGTTTACAACGCGAAAGTTTTCCTTATAAAATTCTCAAAATAATCTAATACCCTTCAATTACAACATGCCTTAAAAGAGCAGCGTAAATACCACCTAAATCATTAATGATAGGGATCTGATAATTTATTCCTAAACCGGAGAAGGCGGTATAGTTGGATGACTGTCAGTTGAAGATTGTATATAGTGTATTAAAATTGTATATATTGAAAAACTAAGATCAGAATATCTGTTACTAACTGTTACTAAAAAAATGGGCCTATTTGCCTTTAATAGCTCTTGGACAGCGAAAATGCCTTTTTCCTTTCTTAAATTTAATATGCGACACGACAATTAGCCAGAAATTATAATTTCCATTCACTAGTTTTTCGAAAACTCTAACAGACTTCCCCAATAAGAACTCACAAATACATCCTCAGAATTCCGAGTCCACCACACCATAAATTATTCCCCAAAGTCTTACCGATGATATTTTCAGCCCCACTGCGCTAAGAATTTTCGACACCCACCCTTATGAGTCAACACGAGATAATACTGCAACCCCCACTAGAAGAATGTAAGTTACTTCCTTTCTGCCTTTATATCTTATGTCATTAGGATCTATCTATTATTTTTTATATTTTTATATTTCTTTGATTTGTTTTTACAGGGTTTGCATTGTTTGTCTTTTTTATGGTCTTCTATGTTTGTTTCAACTTTACTTTGAGTTCGATTTCATGGTGACAATTTCCAGTGTTTGGTTTCTACAGGTAATATAGTACTCAAATACATAAGGGTGATGGTGTCGGGGACGGTTACTCGGGTTTTACGGGATTTCTCTGCAGTAATTGATTTTAACTCCAAATTGAATTGACTAAAATGCTTCATGAGAGTAAGTTCTTTGAGTGGCAACTATTCGCGGAAATATTTGGCCTGACTAGAATTGCCGTGGTTTACTTATACTCGTAAAAGAAACCTTCATATTTACGTATTTTTACATTATTGTTCATTGAACGGAGTTGGTTTGTTCCCTTGAAAGTCAATAATTCCGATAATGTTTATTTCCTTTTAATAATTTTTCTTTTAATTTAATTATTCCCAGGATTAACTCCAGTGCCGTTAAACATTATTAACATTTGCTTCAATACTTCAAACAATTTGAATATAACACCATATGATCACTCTTTAAAATAATCTACTTTAATTAACTAGGAGATAATATATCAATTATCTTCAAATATAACTGACCATATGGATGCACACTTTTAAATAATCTATTTAATTACCTTAGAATAATATAATCAATTAATATCTGTTTAGGAAATAAATTATTATTAACTAACTTTGCAGCAATTGCGCAAGTAATAATAACTTGTATTCGCACTAAATGGATTTAAGTTCATACAACATATATATATATGCACAATTGGTTTATTTTACTATGGCAAAGTACTCGGGGCTATCTGCATAAGAGGAGGGATGCCATCTTGGAGATTATCTAAAGAAAATTGTCTTGTATACACATCACGCCTGGAGGAAACCATGAAAACGCACATACATCCAGCCCATTCTCCGAAATTCGATTCCCGGACCAAACCACCAGTGTTAAGCAATTTTACCGTTCTCTCCCTTGTAGGCTTTGTATATGCATGACATCTAACAAAGGCAGTTGTGTTTAACTGTGAGTATATGCATTTTTAACACTGCTTATATTCACTAACTGTGAACATCTGTATGAAAAAGTGCAGTTGAGGTAACTCTTCATTGTACAGATTAATTTTATATTTTCATATCTATTGAATTTGCACCTAATTTATAAATAATCATTTTGTGTATGTAATTAAGCAATTTCATTGCCCCCCAAAGAAAAATTTCATTGATTAAATTTGGAAAGTCATTGAAGTCTGAGTGAGTTATTGAACAACTTTGTAAAAAAATTTCACAATTTAATACTTACGTTTACATTTTTAAGAGCATCACTAACTAGTAGTAAATAACTAGTATGAAAATAATAAGCATTATATGGTGTATTTCTTAAATTGCTATTTTTATAAATATGTCAAATTCTACTTTTGCCATCCATACTGTTGCAAGAGATTAAAATTTTCATGTCGTTGGAGAGCATTTAAAAAAAATTTTGTTATGCGTACATAGATTTTCAACCGCCGGTCTGCAAAATATCCAGCTATCTGTTCAAAAATTGTGCCAATGGGTCAAATTATTAAAATACATTATTTACATATTGATATGGAACTGAAATATTCATTAAGCATTGGTTACTTTTAGATGATATGTAGATGAAATCAATAATACTTTTATTAGTTAAACGGTTCCTGGTAACATTTGTAATTGCTTTGATCAGTAAATTATTTTGTGACTAAGAAACTGTTAAGATGAATGAAAAAATGATAAACAGTAGGAAATAGTCATGCAAATATAATTGTTGAGGAAGTGTTACATATTGCAGTTTGAGACTCTGCTCCGTCATTGCAGAACAAACTGGCACTGCTCAGATATATATCAGCCTGATTTAACTTTATAAAAAAGTCATCACAGAATTGCTATTCTCAAAGAAACTATTATCACAGTCATCCAAGAACATTTCGTAAACTACTTTTGAAGTGCAAGATTTTTATAATATAACATTAGAGATAAGTAAAAGCTAGCCAGATGTCTCATTTTAATACTTTAATAATGAAAATCAGTCTGGACAATATTTACATTTTAACAGTCCCTGTATATTGTTCAGCTATCTGCTTTTAAAATCTTTTCAAAACAGTCTTTGTTTTTCTTCCTGACACTTTCCCCAAGATAACTTGCACATTCTGATTGTTTGTAAAATACAACTTCACGGGATGCACATTTCTACACTTTGTACTACTAGGGGTTATAGTTGACTTTGGGGTACCCCTTGTATTCTCGCAAAATTGTTGTTTCATTTATAGCCAAGTTGTTGTCTCATTTAATGACAACCTGAGTAGTTGAATGCTATGGAAACCCTATTATGATGTAATTGGTTGTGGTGAACTTAAATCGTGGGAAAAAATTTGGAAAGTGTGTGTCGGATTTTGGGTAAGGGCTTGTGTGTGATGGATTAGTACGTTGTTATTTTGTGGTTTACACGGTAAATTGTCTGAATGTGGTAAGATTAATTTGAATTTTCCGTAGGATTTGGAACGAAAGGGGAAAAAGCATTGACTGGTGTGTAAATGAAGATTTACTTAGTAGCAATTATTAAGTGTCCTGTTTGAAGGAAGGAAATGCGTATGGTCGAACATCAGATAGAGAGTCGTAGCTAGGGTTTTCAGCGCCCAAGGACAACTGAAGATTTTGCGCCACCTACTGCTTGCCAAGGATAGAAAACATTTAATTATAAAATGTCATAACATCAGTTTGGCGCCCCTGGGATTCTGCACCTGGGGACAGATGCCCCCCCTCTAGCTACGCCCCTGATCAGATATATTCAAACGGAGGATATTTTTTACTCTTATTTTTGTGAATTTATGTGGCTACACCAATATACAGAGTATACAGAATTCTAGTTTCACAGCAGATAATTTTAGGAAGTGTTTGGAATGCTGTTTAGGAATTGTGGTTTATGAACTGAAGACACTTAAATTCGTCACTAAGGGAAGTGGAAATTCCTTCGTGTATTGCAGGGATGAATTTTTTTGTTATTACTCTCCTTGTTTGGACTTAAATGTAGTTATCGGATTATTATTTGTGTTGGCTGCTCCATTTAACTTAAGTATATAGTTTCGAATGTGTAATGGACAAGTCAGGAATAACAAAGCCTAGTTTGGTGAAATTCTCTTATTTTTTTTTAAAGTGAAACATAGTGGAGTGTTACATTGATAAAGTCAAGAGAGTGCCCAATGCCCATTTTTTGTACAATTCTGGGATGTTTTTAAGGAAAATAGGTTTGATATGTACATGGATACCAAGTTTGTGCAATTCTTTCCTCTTGTTATTTTGGCTTTGTGAATTTATCCTTTATCCATTTTTTGCAAGTGCAATTCACTTTTGTTTGATGGACATACGAAAAATGCTTTCGCGTTTGTAGATCCCTTTTGGCAGCTTGTTCAGAATCGAAAATTCTTTGACATAATCGAAAGTTCAGACTTACTTTTTTTATAAATTGCTCTAGCGAAAAACAGTCGTCAAAAATCACAAGCCGGATCCATTAGAAGATTACGGAATATGCAATCTGCAACATTAACTGAAATAGATAATTAGATAATTTTAGCTTATACATTAAATGCGCATGCATAAAGTTATGCGCATGCGCACACGCATATGCGCAGCCGTAAAAGTCTTACGAGCATGCATCAAATCCTGTAGCTTTGAGGTCAGGATTATAGATCATTCCGGATTATGGGTGTCCGAATTAACGACTTTTGACTGTATACTTTTACCCTACTAGGCAAAGGCAAAATGCCTTATTCATTAGCAACAGGCAAACTCCAAAGTTGGAATACGATTTGGTACAAGGGGGGAAAAAAATTGCAAACTAATCTTAAGCGGAAACCATAAAATACAAAATCGCCTGCAATTGGGTTGGCAGATAAAATTAATTTTCATAAAATTTCATAAAATTCTGGGTTGCCTGCTTCGGTGATTCTTACCATGATTATTACCATGATTTGCACAGTAATTCTTACCATGATTATGTGGATAATTCAATAGTACTGAATATGTAAATTTGCTACGACTGAGAGTTTATTATGTGTCTGTAGTGCATCGTCATTTCTATAAAATGATGGGTCATTGCTCTGAAAACTCTGGAGTAAACTTTCCAATCCTAGTTCTTTTATGATTATTATTAATACGTGATGTTTAACAAATCATTTTAATCGTATATTATATGGAACTAAGTTAATAAAATTTTGAATAATGAAAATGAAGCTGTTTACTTTATAATTTAATTATTGTTTTCTAAATGTTAACGGAGAAGTTTATTACGGCAAACATACATTTTTATATAGTTAATTAAAAATGAGATTGATGTAATAGTGCATTATATATATATATATATAATATAGTATCAGTATAGCATTATTTTTAAAATTTACATTTTCTTTTTCTTTTAGCTAATTATACGTAATGCGGGAGTGTATCAGTGTACATGTAGGACAGGCTGGTGTGCAGATTGGAAATGCATGCTGGGAATTGTATTGTCTTGAGCATGGCATCCAGCCTGATGGACAGATGGCAAACGATGTTGTTCGTGATGCTACTGATGATTCATTCAGCACTTTTTTCAGTGATACAGGAAACCAGCAATATGTTCCTCGTGCAGTTTTTGTCGATTTAGAGCCTACAGTGATCGATGAAATTCGTACTGGAGTTTATAGACATTTGTTTCACCCTGAACAGATGATAACAGGTAAAGAGGATGCTGCCAACAACTATGCTCGAGGCCATTATACCATTGGAAAAGAAGTTATTGACTTAGTTTTGGATCGTATCAGACTTCTGGCTGAACGCTGTACAGGACTTCAGGGCTTCTTGATTTTTCATAGTTTTGGTGGTGGTACTGGTTCCGGATTCACTTCTCTTCTTATGGAAAGGCTGTCTGTTGACTATGGGAAAAAGTCAAAATTAGAGTTTGCTATTTATCCAGCTCCACAAGTAAGTTTTAAAACATATTTATTAAATAAAATAATTTCAGATTTGTATAATTGTGAAATACATCAGATTAGAGGAATTTGATTGGGTGTTTTGATTGCCTGTGAAGTACTGCAAGATGAAACTGTGTTCATGTTAATCCGCTCATTACCAACGTCCCATATGTTCTACTCTTCACAACAATTCCACTCTTACCAGCCCAGTGTTGCCTCTGCGCAAAGAGCTGCGATCAGTCTCTTCAGCCCAGCATCGCATATGCATAATTTGAAAATGAAACGATTTATTTGAATTTCTAAATGCGAGTAGATGGCACTAAATGGTAACATTTTCTCCATTGGTTGAGTCCTATGGCTTTTAGCCTTCGTGTGTGAGCATCAGTTTCTATATTTTTGCTTCTGCTTTTGATGGATGTATTTGTGTAAACAAACTGGTGATCACAGTTATTTAAAGGGATACCATTTTTGTTTATTTTGTAAGGAATTTCTTTTTTTGTTTTTGTTCTTTGCTTTCTTGGTTATTAGAATGTGGGGAAGTGCATCCAGCTCAGTGTTTTCATTTATGTTATTTATTTATTTTTTTTTTGTGTGTGTGTGTGTGTTTGAAGAGAATGTAGGAAAACTCATCTGCCTGACTATAGGCAGGTGTAACATCGCTGAACGCGCTGAAGGAACTTTCGTGTGGGGAAAAACTCTGACCAAGTTGTCCATTTTTATACTTATTTTAAAACTTAACATGGGCTTTTTTGGTTATTTAGAAAGTAGCACTACAGCATTATTATAGAAGGGGAAAGATATCAGCTTTCCCAATGGGTGATATGTCGTTCTGGCTCTGCATTTCTAAGGAAAAAGCCATCCTTTTCCTGTATTCAATCCTCGTTTTGAATCATTTCACAAAAACGGCAGAATTCTAAAATTTGAATTAAATTACCTACAGATAATTACAGAGTTGCCAACTCTCCCGATTTAGGCGGGAGACTCCCGATTTTCGACCGCTCTCCCGCCAACAGTTTTACATCTATTCTCCCGACTTTTTCTTATCTTAATATTTCCTCACGATTTTTATGGAACTTGGCTTAATACTTAGTTATATAACAAAAAAAAAATGTGATTTTGAAGTCGAAAGCTGATTCTCTAGATTAATCGAAAATGAAACTGCGAATCAATGAGAATTTTGCTTTGTGATTGACAGATACATATCCAGAACGTCGTTCTCCAGTTCTCATGGCATCGACTCCACTGCGTGTCACATGGCATATATTAGCCAGAGCATAAGCAGCTCAAGGCAGTGGCCGTTCTTTCGCTATTCGTTCATTTTGTCCTGAGTTGTGTGAGTACACGTCTTTTAGGAAATATTTTGGAAATTATCGTCTTTTGATATGTCTGCGAAAAGGTGAATACTCGTGAGTTTCAAAATCGTAAAAGTTTGAATTTCCTTCATTATTTCTTCAAGAAATTTATAAATTTGCGATTGTGTACATCTGCGTTGCGATTTTTCGATTTCGCTGGTGGAAGGGCAGATGTTCTCAACCATGTGCATACACATAACAAACACAAGGAAAAACATGAGTTTTTTGAAAAAACGAAATTAAATTTTCGTCGAAACAAAAGACCAAAAAGTGATTAATGAAGAATGTTGTTCTAGCTTTTACTGGAGCAGCAAACCTTCCACTGAATGCATAGGATCAGGCGCTTTATTTGAAAATGTTTCCATGTGAATCGATAAAATACTCAGTGCAAGGACCAAAACAGGTGCAATGTTAAAGAATGGGTTTGAAAAATAAATCTTCAGTTATTGATTGCATTAAAACAGATCCGTTCTGCCTCTCCGGATGGAAGCAATTATACCATTCAAAACTGTATCCAATTGTTGTTTATTTTTTAATCAGGTCTCAGAATTGAGTGAGTTAACTTTCTGTCCCCTTAGAGGAATTGACAGGCTTTTAAACACAGCTAATTATTAAAATTAAAAAAGAAATGCATCCCTTCAATATTGATTAGACTTGGTGCCGATAATGCACCAGTAATGTTATGCTTGATACTGGTGTGGCAGGCATTTTAAGAAGGCAATTCAGATTTGCCAGATTATGGAGGCACTGTCACTCTTAAATTTAGCAGCTGAAAAAAGGCAGCTTCTTTACCATTAATTGGAGAACACATTGTTGCTATTTATTATATCTGGAAAGGAGTCTCAAGAAAGGAAAAATTGAAACAGTTCCAAAGATGCATATACTGAATGAGAAAAATTTTGAAACGTGTGACACGCTGGTTGTCTTAAGAAATGCTTTCTAGAATCCTGATCAAGGAACCCACTTCTTGCTGTTTTAAAGAGTAATGCTTCGAGAGTTAAGATAAAAGGCTCTATTGAAAGATAAGTACCTAAAGTAAATAAGAGGTGTTACTACTTCCATTGTGAAAAATGGTTTGAGAAAATAAATAATTTCTGCACATTCAGCTTCAATGCAGTTCTCAAATAATACTGCAAAATATAAGCGTAAAGCTGATACAAATTCTCTCAAATAAAAAAAAAAAAGGCTCACACACGAAACATTTCCGTACTGAAGTTTATCTTGTAAGAAGAAATTATGTTTTTTCTTTGGACCTTAACAAAGCTTTTGCTTTTTTACAATTCATTTGCCACATTCGATTTCTGAACACAATTCTACAAAGCAGAATTCCATTAATTCATGTTCTGCAATCAATGGATTTATGATCTGTTGAAAGACATTTTATTAAAGTTTGTACAACCAGTCTTTGTTTCATATTTTAGTTCTACGTATGGGTGATTTATGGTGAAATAGGAAATCAGATAAAGATTAAGATTTGGTAATAGGGGCTACAACTAACAAAGTAACAGAAGAACTTTCAGAGGAAGACTAAAATTAGTTTTATTTCCACTTTAGAAGCTACTTCTGCCGAATATGTGATTACACACTACATAAATTTCCAATCATCAATGAAATGATTTTATACACTAAAGTTGCAGATGTTTCTGCTCTAGCAAATGCACATCTTTTTCTGATATAGGTACTTTTAAACAGATTTCCTGTGTTACTCGTTTAGTCTGAAGATGATGCTATTGAGTGCTACTGAGTACTCAGTCCATTTTGCATTTTCAATTAGAAAACTTGGATAAGTTTAAATCAGCTAGGATTGACCCCGGGGAGTAATTGGAAAATTGAAAGGGCTGATGAATTTTAAACTTAGTGAACTCTCTAGAATTTGTTAACCATCTGACAGTCCCCATAGTAACACGGAGGTGAGAGATTTTCAGTGCTGTTGCGAAAACGCGAACAAATTAGATCTAATATAGTGATGACACTTAGAAAAACTTTTGTGTGAAGCAGGCCTAGTGGCATTGATATGAACAATTTATAAGTTCTTTCTACGAGAGCAAAATCTGCCACTGTCCTAACATTTGTATGAAAATGATTAAGTGCCCTTTTTTTTTTTTATTTATTGTTTTTTTAAACGATGAAAGTAATGAAAATGTTTTTAATGCTAAGGTATTTTTTGTTTTGCTTGCATTAAGATTTGGCACTTTTAAGTTATATTTTAAAAACTATATTTTTATATTTAAAAAGTCTTTAAACATTGTGAAAATCTCCTGATTCTAAAAAAATCTCCTGATTTTGGTCATAGGTGGCAAGTTGTAATTATTACTAATATATTCGTTAAGGACCGTAAATCGCAAACATCGCCGCCATAAATAAATGCGGCAACGCTACGCAAAAAGGAAGTATGATAGTAATACTGATTTTATTGTTTTAATTAGATGAAGGTTAATTCGTATAATACTTATTATAATTTATATAAAAAGTTTAAACATAGAATGGCAGCATAAGAGTAAATAACTATTTGGATCATTATTATAATTTATTAAAAAGCAAACAAATGAAAGGTTCTGATTGCTATTTCGCTACTGAGTTATCGCTAAACATATTCAAACATAATTTCTCGAATGATGATGCCTTTCTGAAAAATCTATTAGATTTTGTCAGGGCAATTCCCAATGTTAAAACCATAGGATATCAAAAAAGGATTTAAAAATTAAACTAGTGTTTCAATGGCGTCTTAAGAAATATAGAACTATCTAAACTTACACAATTGGAAATGAACATATACGCTAGATTTGGCGCTTTTTCGCACGTTTTCACTGCAAATTTTTTGCGGTTCTCAAAACGAAATAGTATCTTATTGCTTAATTTTCTTTTAAATTTTGTATTTGATTTTGTTTTTATGTATATAGCTTTAATGGTAATATTTCGCATGTTTCATTTATTTCTGTTAATGTGATATTCTTTATATTAATCCATATTAAGTATGCAACTTCAAAAATAGAGGCCATTATATTTAAATGCCGATTTTATATATATATTTTTAAATTAGGCTTAACTGCTGAAAAATATGTGGGCCGGTGACAACTTTCCATGTCGGAGAGTTCGGTCCCACGACTGTGCTTCGATATGTGCGTGCTGGTCCTCAACGGGTTAATAGTTGGTTCTACATTCTAAATCTTCAGTTAAATGGAATAAAAAGGAGTTGTTGCATATATTCTATGTGTATTATGCATTTTAGTTATTTATTTAAACATTGAAACATTTTATATTTTTGTTCTTGTTTTACTTTTTCCTGTAAGATGTTTTAACCACTTGCGTTAAAAAGACATGCCACGCACGTCGAGATGCTTTTGTCTCAAACCGCGAGCAATGTGAACACCACATCGATAGGCATTTATCGCAAAAATGAAATAACGTGCTGCACACGTCGCCTAACAACGAGATTGTTTATTTCTCGAGTTACTGCTCTGGATTGCATTCGCTGATGTGGAGCGGCGTAAATGAGACACTTTACCGCATGTAATATTGCAGCGCACGGCACCGCAACCGTGAAGTTTAGTGGTAGCGCAAGTGGTTAAATGTTAATATGATCTAAATTTTATCATGGTTTAAGCTTCATTTTTCATTATTCTTTCTAGCATGTTTTAAATGTTAATAGCTCATGTATATGTCTTTTTTAAATAAAGTAATTTGCATGGTGTATATAAAATTGACGAATTCATTAAAGCATGTGTGATCAATAACAAAAAAATAAATAAATAAACTAAACTGACCTTTTATTCTTTAGGTATCAACAGCTGTGGTGGAGCCTTATAATTCTATTCTTACAACCCACACAACTCTAGAGCATTCTGACTGTGCTTTTATGGTTGACAATGAAGCCATATTTGATCTGTGTACTCGCAACTTAGATATAGAAAGGCCCACCTATACTAATTTAAATAGATTGATAGGTCAAGTTGTATCTTCTATTACTGCTTCACTGAGATTTGATGGAGCTCTTAATGTAGATCTCACTGAATTCCAAACAAATCTTGTTCCATATCCTCGAATTCATTTTCCTCTTGTATCGTATGCTCCTGTGATGTCTGCTGAAAAGGCATATCATGAGCAACTGAAAGTTGCAGAAATTACAAATTGCTGTTTTGAGCCATCAAATCAGATGGTTAAATGTGATACTAGGCATGGTAAATACATGGCTTGTTGTCTTTTATATAGAGGTGATGTTGTTCCAAAAGATGTTAATGCAGCAATTGTGTCCATCAAAACGAAACGATCCATCCAGTTTGTTGATTGGTGTCCAACAGGATTCAAGGTAAATTTAATCTTATTTTGAGCTCATTTGATTTGTACATGATATTTAAAGAACTAAATACAATTTTTCCCCCTCTATTATAAATTCCAAATATTTCAATTTAAGATTTTTTTTAACCAAGGGGTGGAATTTCATAGTTTCAGAGAGGATGTGATCTGTTTTATTTAGCTTTTAAGTAGTATTTAGTTTATTTATAAGAAAAAATGTATTTAAGTTCTGATATTTATCAATATATTTTATACATTTGTTATAAAACGCATTAAAAATATCCAAAACTAAATATATACAGTCAAAAGTCTTTAATCCAGACTTGTCGGGACTTCGGCGATTCTGGATTATCAGTTTTTCTGGATTATAGATCATCAGTTTAAATCTGGTAAGATGGCATGCAGAAATTATAAAATTAAAAATATGAAACCGTAATTTATGAAATAAAGAGCAATTATGATCTAAAAGTTATCAAAATTTACACAAAAAAAAGCTTAATATTTATTTGTTTACTTTATTAAACATTTCTTTCAACACGCGCATGTGTAAAGCATACATTACGCATAGTCGAAATTAGAAAATTTCAACCAGAAAACTATTTGTGTATTCATGATAGTTATAATGACAAGGAATTTGATTTAAATCATATCAAAGACGGAATACATCGAGATGAAATACTACGATTAGTAAGGAATTATAAGCCGAATAAAATAAAAACATCTGCCCTGAAGATAAGGATAGTGCTGACAGATCAACTTCCAATTCATTGCGTGCTGCGACGTCCCCCCCCCCCCCGCGGCAGAGCAGCGTGAAATTAATAAACAGATTTCGGAGTGGTTAGAGAAACAAAGGATATGCCTTTATCCATTTTTTGCAGCAATTTCACTTTTTGTTTGATGGACATTGAAACATGCTTTCGCTTTGTAGATCCTTTGGCAGCTCCAGAATCGGAAATTCTTTTTGACATAATCGAAAGTTCAAGCTTACTTTTATAAAATTGCTCTAACAGTCTGCAAAAAATAACAAGCCGGATCCAATTAGAAGATTAAGGAACATCGCAATCTGCAACATTAACTGAAATAGATAATTAGATAATTTTAGCTTATACCGTCCGTTATACATTAAACGCACATGCGTAAATGTATTATGCGCATGCGTAAACGCATTATGCGTTTACACATGCGCAGAAAGTTTGTAGCTTTGATGTGCGTATTAAAGACTTATGACTGTATAAGTATTTTTAAATTTTGGAAAGGAATAATCATCTAGCGATGGTGAAAGATGTGCACAAAGCAAAAGAAGAATAAAATCATGCTTTAGTGTTATATGAAAAGCTTAAAATTGTAACTGATATTACAAGGCTTACTTTTGGTAATTGTATAGATTAACTGGATATAGAAAATATTCTAAAGAGCATATAATTATTTTAGCTGCTAATTTTTTATCTCACAATAGATAATATGCAAATTCTCAAATTGCATTATTGATTTAAGCTGTTTTTTTGCTAAAAATGAGAAAATTGTTGTTCAATAGAAAATGTCAAAAGTAGTGTTAAACTTCTAAAAAAATATAAATAAATAAAAATTAAAAAGGAAAAATTATAAAAGATTTTTACAAGTATATTGAATTCATTTTCTGAATTTTTCAAAATGAATTTGCAATCTTTCTGAATTTTTAATGCTAATCGGGTTCCATTTAATACTGAACGTCACGAAAAATTTCTGTTGACGAAAGTTCCTAATGGATATCACTTTTTTGAACTTCACTGAATTTTGAATATTAACAGCCAGTGGTGTTAACTCTGATTTTAATAAATTATTTTAATGGAAACATACAATTTTCTCTTTAATTGGTTATAATTACTGCTAAACATTTAGCGATTATTTCGTAATAAAGGAAATTCATATCTGGACCTTTTTCGAGATAAATTTTGCTTAAACCTTTACTGACTAATAATGAGGAATAAAGCTATGTGGAAAATATATAGAGAATTAAAACAGAAAGAATAACTGAAAAGTATTCACAAAATCACAAAGTGTAATGAAAGGAACATAAAAACAGGGTTGCCACGCTACCTGGAAAACCGGAAAAAGTCAGGGAATTCGGAAATTGACCAAAAAATTCAGGGAAAAGTCAGGGAATTTAAGTGTTTTAGTCAAAATCTGGAAAAGTCAGGGAATTTCATACAATGATCCCACCAAAAAAGGCGAGTTTTGCGCTGACGTCGGAAGAGATAACTTTTTTGGCGAGAGTGTCATTCGGGCAGCTGGCATAGAGCCAATTTTCGCAGCTCCGCTTTGATTGTCTTTTTGGAAAGGCAAAGCAAGTTTCCCGCAACTTTTGGTTTCCAGTAACCTCGAGAATCGCATGTGCAGTGTATGAACTAAAGAAAGTACCTGTTCTCTTATAAAACAAAATGGGTTTAGTCCTAGTATATGGTACCATGAAGGTTAGAATTAAAAAAATATGTATTGTAAAGAAGGAAAACCTCTGCAACAGACGTGGCTCGGTTCCATCATAGCGAGAAACAGCTGTGCATGCACGATATAGTTCGAAACCGGTTCGCCAAAGTTCGAAACCGGTGTCGAAGTTCGAAGGTCACGTTATCAAGAGTTCATAAAATGAATATCATTTAAAATGTCTTTAAAGGAAAAGAAAATATTTTTTGGCGCAAGTAAATTAATTCATGGATTAGTTATTTTGATGGCGGGGAAAAAATCTACGAAAATCCGTTTTTAAAATTATTGCGAAAAATCCAAGAAAAAACATTCTTTGATAAAACGGTTCTTCTTGGATTTTTCGCAATAATTTAAAAACGTATTTTTGTAGTTTTCTTTTTTGTCAAAGAACGTTTCTTCTTAACACGGGTTTTTTAATATCCTGTATGTGGAGAGGGAAATTCTGGCCGTTCCGTCGTCAAATCTCTTGGCAAATTTTCCCTCCACTTTTTACATAGACGTTCTTTGGTCAGAATAATCTCCATGGGTACAGCGAGATTTGGCGACATGATGATGAGCAGTAAACGGGTCATTTTGTTCTTGGCAACAATTTTCAAAATCATGCAAAGGCCGTATCGTATACTAGGATTTTGCTGCAAAATCTCTTTTTTTTTTTTTTCTTTTTTCTTTTTAATAAATACCTTGTCATTTTGCAGTAAAATAAAAAAATAGTAATTAATCATCTAGGATAACCATATATAACTATATTCTAAAATATCGTTGATTATTCTAATTAATTTTTAAGTAATTATCTTTATTTTATGTTATTCATATCATTTAATGTTGCTTCTTCCCCTCTAAATTTATTTATCATTAGTAAATAATATTTCCAAATTTCAGGAAATTTTTCTCTGGCATAATCCTGAAATTAATTCTAGCAGTATGATGACATCACGAAATTTAATGCACATATTTTTTCCTTATGTATGCTGCGAAATAAATATAAAATACCTCAATTTAGTAAAAAAAAAATATCATTAAATAGATTTCTTTTTTTCGTTTAGCTGCAGAATGTCTGCAAAAAAAAAAAAAAGCCTTATTTTATTCCAGATTGGGCAGATTCTAATTTCGGTCTTCAGTGGAGAAAAGAACTCCTATTATAATTATATTTGTGTTTTCAAGTGTTAAGGTACCTTTTAAGAATACACCTCACACAAATTAAATTTATCTAAAATCTAACCTAACTTTTAGCATTGCGTTGTGATTTATAAGAACCGGATTAGCCTCGTGTTGAACTGGGGATGATCATGTATAATTAAATAAAACTTACAGTTGTATCCAATGTATATATCTTAAATTTTATTAAGTTTTTAAGCGAAAAAAGTAAACAAAATTATCAAACAAAGTGTACCAAGAACAATTAAGAATAAATGTCCTCTGGGATTTATTGAATAATTAAGTGAATTTGCTACCAGTACAAGTAATACCATAATTAATTTACCTCTTAGCACAGCCAATGTACATTACGCGGATAGACTGGAATTTTCTCGAAACATACCTGGAAAAGTCAGGGAATTTCATTCTCTTCGAGTGGCAACCCTGTAAAAAGCAAGTATTATATGTTAATAAGAAAAGCTTAAAAAATAAGTTCCAAAATAAGAGATTGATGAAGAAAAGGGTCGGTATTGAAAAACTGGTAAATACTGCTGCCTAATCGTATTTGGTTAAAAACAGGGATTAACGGAACAGTTATTCATTTAAAAACTATTTCAAGTATATTGTACTTTACCTTAAAGGACTGGGAAGACCCCTTCTAAGAAATGGATGACCCCCTAAGGAATGGTTGATGGGGGGACTGGGAAGACCCCCCATCAATAAATATCTATTAAATAGATAACTTGTACAATTTGACAATTTCAAAATAAGTAATACAACAAATTTTATAAACAACTGTTACAGGACATTGAACAATAACCTGGAGAATTGTTTTTGGTTAATAATAAAATAATTACATAACGCAGTATAACCCCTAGTAACATTTAAATTCGTAATTGCACATAACATATATAGCAATACGTATATCACATACAAAATAAATACACTCAAACCTGCTTTTCTGCGGTGGATAGGGACCGCGTAAATGAAAACTCTTAAAAAAAGAATCGTAGAAAACTTAACGAGTAGCTATAAAATATAGTTTTTGCAACACAGAATTTTCTTTTGTGCAGTGAATAGGGACTGCATAAAAAAAGTTTCAAGTAGCAACTCGAAACCTTACGAAATAAATGGGAATTGCTTTTTTAAATGAAATCAAGACATTAGGCTTGGCAGCTACTTGGAATATTGCCAAACCTTTCAGAATCTAATTCAGAAAATACGCATATGAAAATTTTTAAATATTTTATTTACATGTGTACTTATTTTACACATACAAAACTTTTCAAAACATATAACCATTATGCTTCTTAGTCTGACAATACATGAACTTTCTTGTGGTAAACTGGTTCAAAATTGCTTTTGCCACTTGAAGATACAGTCAAAAGTCGTTAATCCGGACTCGTCGGGAGTTCGGCG